CAGTCAGGAGCTTCCTGGCGAGGATGCTGAGAGCTCATTTTGTGCCCTGCTTTGGAGACTTGTACACTACATGGAGGAGTTTATTTCAAACAGAAAATGCTATCCAGTTCTTTTAAGGAGGAAAAGTTCTCTACACATGTGATGTTACTGTCAGCCAAAGAAAAGGCCTAGACATATCAGCTGAGTGCTCAGTAAATTTGGGATTTATGGGAGAACAGAGGCTCTCACCTTTGTGTTTTCAGCCTCAGAGAGATGGCTACTTACCACAGAAGGATAGTTGATGACAGAAATGTGGAATCCATATGGGAAACTGCCACCAATTCCCAGCACTAAGATCATTTGAAGCAGGCCCCGGAACTGAACCTGCAAAGCAAAAATAAAATCTCCATCAGCTTCTCACTTCTCTAGTTTTGTGCAAGGCCAGAGACTTTGTAGCCACACTGGTCCTTCCTCTTTGTTCACTTCAGAACCTTTTGAAGTTAAACATTTTTCAAAATCCCTCTAATCCACTGCCAAAGCACAACCATCAGCCACAGTGCCAGAGCAAATGGGTGTAAGGTGATAATCCATCACTGTGCTTGCAGGAAGGAAAAGGAGTTTGAAAAGCTGTTCCTGATAGTACAACTCTCACTGTACACCTGCAACAGCTGGCAGTTGGCTGGATAAAGGTGTCAGACCTGGGCATGGGGAAGAGAGAATCATGGACAGCAACAAAAATACACCAAACCATAATGTATGATGACACATATCACTTCTTCCCTTTTAAAGATTATGGACAATCTTGATGGATTATATTAATTAACTCTTGATGAAGTGATGAAAGTAATTTATTTAAAAGTTTATGTCATGATTTCTTAGCCTTTTTCTGTACCATTACTATATTAATTATTTTGGAAAGTAATCAGAGTGCTTAATATTTAGTATTGTTTTCAGTAATTTAGAAGACAAAGTAAAGTATCATAGCGGTGGAAGAGCCAGAGCTGCTGTTAAATTTTCATTTCATTTCATTTCATTTCATTTAATTTCATTTCATTTCATTTCATTGCATTATTTCATTTTATTTTGTTACATAGAAAAGACAGTGGAACAGGACCTTCATGGCCCCAAGCCCCATTGCTCTTTGTGATGTTTAAACACAGAAGGGAAAGATGGTCTCTGTAACAAAGGAATTTAAAATCTTTAAAGAACTTGAATCTCTAGTATTGTGTTATCTCTGTCTTTTGTAAGGCAGAGGCCTGAGGAGATGTGAGCAGGTACTCACCAGGTTGGAGAGGAAGGCAGCCATCTCCTATGAATGAGCCGGTGCCTGCTGCTTGCTGCTGGTACCTGCCAAGGAGCCAAATGCTCACATGATCCAACAGCAGTGTCAGTGAACTAGTCCCATGTTACTGAAGTTAAATTTTACTTCAGAGGGTTTTGAGTTAATTACACATATTCCAGCTGTCGTACAAAGTTTAGGATTGCTGGATTAAATATTTCAACCAATGGTTATGTGTAGCCCAATCAAACAGGATGGTGTCCCTTGCAAGACCTGTGTACTTCATGAACTCTGTCTTCTGCTAGGGGGACAGGGGCCTGAGAAAACAATCTTAAACAGGATTCCCATCATCATAACCTGCTCAGTTTTCAGTGTAAGTGAGAAACTTAGAGACAGTGTTCTCTGTTGGGAATCTTAAATGGGGCTTGGGCAGGACTTTGACGTGTCACAGAAAAGAGCTGTCCTCTCTCCAGGTGATGGCAACTGGAGCACATCGTGACTTAATCATTACTGGAAGGAACTGAACTACTCCATGATTTTGAAATGGGGTGCAAACTTAACAATTCTACAGTGGTACACCATGCTTGACCAGCCAAGTATTCAGTAGATGATTTTTCTTTGCTAGTAGAGAGAAAGATTCATTATGCACAGTTTTGTCTGGCATTTCCACTAGGCAGTGTACTTATTTCTGTGTCTGCCATGAAAAATAAGGCAAAAACCTCCACAACTGGATTGATGTCTGTTTCTTCTGAGAGAAAATTCTCAGGCTTTAACTTCAGTTATTTCACAATTAAGAGTGAATTAAGCCTTGAATGTGTTCAGTTGGTAAATGGCTTAGTTATCGTTTGGCATTTACACTTCACTTGAAGGAGAGGGTGAATAAGTCACAAAGGGCACAGTTGATGCCAGCAGTCATATTTACTAGAAAATATTTCATATTCCTGGATTCCCTAACTAATGTTTGAAATGTAGTGCTTGGCACCACCCAGCCATTTCTCCTGCCACTCTCAAGCCTCATCATGGCCTTGACTTTGTTCTTGATTTGTGCTGCTAGTTCATGGAGGGATTTTTTTCAGTGGAGGTTCTCCAGCAGATAAGCTGTAGTTAGAGTGCAAATGACACTGTCCTTTTGATGCTAAGAATTAATTTTGTTTTCTATAAAATTACACAAAGTTGAAAAACATGATGTGCATCTGACTAAGGGACAAAATTCCATTTTGGCTGCTGGTATCTGTCTTGCTCAGATGATATTGGGGGGACACACAAACAGGCAATAACATGTAGACTTCAGCGTGGGGCACTACATATTTTCTAATGTTTTACTTCACCCACTTCTACTTTGTGTATTTATACATACTGGAACTTACAATTTTTGCTCTCAGACTTTAAATTAGAATTCCTGCTTTGGGTAGGTTGAATCTCATAACTCTCTTCCTGTGTCATGTCTTTTGCATTTATGGTGATTAGTGACTGTACTTCTTGTGTGCTGTTATTGCTTGGACTGTTCTGAGACCCCATTTATTAGATGTGCAGTTCCATAATATCTTACAGATATCCTTTAGTTAGAATTGTGCTCAGGACAGTAAATCTCACAGCATCAGGTCATTTATCTGTGCATGTGTGACACATATATCCAGAGCTGTGCTAAGCCTTCCTTAATACAGATCCATATCTGTTTGTGTCCAGCTGACAGAAGTTCACTGATACATTTTTAAAGTATCTGCCTCAGTTGGTATTTGAGACATATCTTACCTATCAGCTGATGTCTCTGGAAGATAACGTGAAGTAATGCACATTAACACTGCAGTAATGCAGTATTCCTGAATTACTGTCCCCTTTGTCCCTGTGCCCTCCCACATATATTTGAGCCATCCCTTTTGCCATTTCATCCCTTGACCTCACTGTCCCCATGACACAGCTCCTGCTCCACTGAGGACAGGCCAAGGCTGACCTGTGCTCCACATGGCTGTTCCACTTCATTGTCACAGCAATGTTCCATAGGGCATGGCTGGCTTCCTGGGGAGCATCCTGTGGGGAAGGCTTTCCTAAATGGCACCTAATGAATAACTGAGCTAGAGAAGTGTCTCACTGGGGAGTCTGTCAGCAGTGCTACACACTGCCACTCTGCTCTTGTTTCCACAGATTTCAGGGAGTGTTGTAATGGAATGGTGTTTTCAGAATGACTGGTAGAGAAGAAAGAATTCTGTTTTGCAAAAAGTTGATATTTCTTATCTATATTGGTAGCTGTGTCCAGATGACTGGTAGTTTTTAATCATATTACATGTATATGGAACACTACAAAGTTACTGAGTTTTCTGACTTTAGGACACTTCATGTTTTGTAGATACGTAATTCTATATATGTAATTATATTTAATGAGATGTCTGAAGTGTCAGTCAGTACTAAAGACAAGAATGAAAAACCATGGAAGGTTAGGCACACCAACAACTTTTTCTAGTCAACTCCCCCTGAGAAGATCATGATGTGGGGAAAGAAATGTTTGTGGAGGCCAGAAGTTTTATTACAAGGCAATCTGCCATTTTTATTATGGTTACCATTTGCAATTAAAAATAAGCAGCAGTTAAGATGAACAATTGGATTTTTAATTTGAATAACCTTATTTGAATTGAAGTAAATATGCCAGTCAAAGCAAAGGCAGAGGTAAAACCACTTATTTTACTGTGCAAGTCTAGAGTTTGGATTTAAATTGTATAGTGTGCCTCACAGTAAGCCTTAGCTTTGTTCATGTTCTTCCTCATATTGCTTTCCTTCTACGACCATGTGAGCCTCTCATTAATAGAGAGAAACACACAGAATGTTAGACACCTTCTAAAGAAAAGAAAAGTCCTCTGGGCCTGTATTTTTCAAAAAAAGTTTCTGATTCAGTCCATTCCATTCTGAGGCAGTTCTTCTGGAGTAAATAGCTTCCAGGTAGCCAACTCTCACAGGAAGAAAATAGCAGTTCAGCTGCTGTGACGTTCAAATCCCTTGAGATATCTGTGGAAATTCTTCTCCTGGAGGAAGAGCTGCAGACTTGAGATGACAGCAATGATGGGCAGGAGAGCACAGAGTCTCTAAAATGACTGTGGGTGCTTGGTGTTCATGGTGGCTGGACTCTCTCCATCAGTCCTTTCAGCTCTATTGCTGCTGAAAGGCAATCTGAAATGGTTGAAGCCTGTCAAACGAGACACTACACAAGGACAACATGGCACTGTGCATGGGAACCTGGCAAGGTTTGGTTATTCAGTTGAATCTAGAGAAACAAAGAATTTATCTCCTATTCCACTAAATTTTTTCTTTAATCTGTTGTGGATTGAACACTAGCCAGAGACAGCAAGCCAAGAACTTCACTGTTCCCATTTCAGCGCTGTAAAAACATACTCAGAAATCATAGAGAGAGAGGATCACAGGTCTTTCCTTTCTCTGCGGTCAGCAGAGTGTTTATAAATTCTACATGTGTGCTTTAGTTGCTCTGTTAAGAGGAGATTTGCACATCAGCACGTTAAGCCAAAATGCTCATGATTCACACAAGTCTATCCTGTTAATATCAGCCCTTACCACTTTTCAGAGCTTCCCAGAGTGGAGTGCTTGAGAAAGAAGCTGGTTTGGCAAAATGGGAACCTTGTAAGTGACAGATAGGAAAGCTGACAGTCCATTTGGAGCAACTTGTTAGTCAGAAAATGGCAAATGTCTTTTTTTTTCCCTACTTTTTTACAAAAACCTGATTCCCCCTCATGGTCAGTCAAAGCCTGGTGCAGAAGGTATAATCCTCTGTGACATGATTTGGAGTCGCTGGAATATGCTTGTTTTTAAAGTTTAGCTTATTGAATTCTTCTGTGATTTCCATGATTGATTTCCCTTTTGTTTCTGGAAGGAACAGGTGGATAATCATCCCTGAAGTGAAAAGTACCACCATAAAGATGAGGAAGCAGAAGTGCTTCAGTCTTTCCTGCAGGGAAGAACAAAGTGAGAAAGAAAGCAGGATTAGCATATCTTTGCTTTAGTCACTTTCTTGGCATGTTTTTTGTATTTGAGTCCCACAATGCCTTAAGTTTTAGCTTTTACATTTTTCAGATCCTGAAGCCTATTTGTGTATAACTCTGAACTGATATAGAGTGTTAGTTAGCTCTCTTCACATTTTGGGCAGACAGAACAATCCTTCCAGGCCTGAGAGCCAAGGTCACCAACACAGCCTCGGGCCCTGAAAAGCATAAACCAAAGGGAATGGGGTAGAGGGAGCCAGGGGAACTGATGACTTCATTACGTGGATCTATAATTGGACAATTAACCTCAGACATGCAAATGGACCAAACGTAAATCAGTCTGAGAAACTCGTGACCATTGTCCACCTTTGGTGTAGCCTCTGTGAGACTTTTGCACTGCCCAAGGTGTGTCCTTTGAAGGCCTTTAATACCTACTTCATTCTTTTAGCTCTGTCTAACCTCTGCTCCAGGTAGCCTCTCAAGGCATCACCCAAAGTATTTTGAATTGGATAAGGATTTCTCTCCATTTTGACCTTTGACAAATATTTCAGTCTGAATGAGTCTCTTGGGTAAATCAGGGCCCTCCGGTTGCGGCCGTGGGCGCGGGAGCGCGGTGCCGGGAGCGCCGCAGGCCGAGGCAGCCGTGCCCCTCGGCGGAGCGGGCACTCACCACGATGAACGGGAACGTGGTGCCGATCACAAACACCCCCAGCCAGTTCAGAACGGCGCTGATCACGAAGGCAGGGGGTCTGCAGGACAGCTTGAAAATTTCAACCCTGGTGGAAACTGTGGCACCACCTGGAAGGAAAGAAGAACGAGAATTGTTTCTTGTTTGATGAGCTTGGCTTCCACATTTGGATTGGGTGTTACTGTTACACAGTCAGCAAATTCTGCTAGAATGGACTGCCATCAGTGCCAGAACTGCGCAGTGGCATTGAGTATTCTGCTCTTTGTTACAAAAGAAAATGTTTGTGGCTTCTAATAAACTGCTAGGCATCAGTGTATGAAAGCAATAAAATACTCAAATAAATTTAATAAACTGCTGGACACCAGTTTATTAAGGTGGTAAAATATTCAAATAAATTTTTGGGGACATCCAAGAATTAAGTAGTTGACACTTGAGAAAGCCTGACATCATCTCATGAAAAAAGATGTATCAGGATAGAATGACAATTATTATTGATAAAATGAATTTTCAGTGTAATTCTGCTAGATTACCAATGAGTGATCTTCCCAGATTTATTTCCTGGGCATTTCAGTTATGTTTTGAAGTCACAGGATTTCAACTGTTTTGAGTTAGGAAAATAATTCAACCCTGCCATATGGGAAGGCAAATATTTAGAAAATTATTAGCCTTTATAAAATACAATTTAATGAGTAGCAGGCAATAAATACTAGGAAAAAAATTATTCCAAAGTAGGTCTTCTGCACTGCTGTCTATGTGGGATAAGATGTAACATTATACAACATGGAAATCAACTCTTTCTTTTCTTATCTTTTTTTCCCCTAGCATTTAAAAAAATCTTTTACCCATCTGCTTTTGCTCTATTTTTGCTGTATTTTTCCAGTGTGCTCCTTTTCTATTTTTAGCAAAACTCAAACCTGATGGTATTGAATTTTATGAATAATTGGACACACAGTGTTTAAATGACTGCAATGTTATGTTAAATGAATTTACTTATGCTAAATATTATGCAATATATGGCAGTATTTTCCTAACCCTATTAATAAGCTCACATGACTCAATTCCTCTATTTCCTTTGATGGAGAACTTACCTGGCCCAACAGCAAAGACAACTGTAAACAGGATAATGAGAGCAAGGCTGCAGTATGGCATCCAGAAGTACCAGTCCTGGGGGAAAAAAGCCATAACTAACTTCTTGTTAAAAACTGTTACCAGCCCTAGGTGAGGAATGCTCCTGCTTTTCCAACACTGTCACCTCCAGAAAGAAATACTCAGTGTGTGGGAGCGGAGAGCTGTGAGTGCTTTACTCCGTGGATGGAGGAGCTGAGATCTTTGTTAGATGAGCAGACAGGTCTGCCAGTGCAGAGCAGCTGCAAATCTAGGGAGGCTTCTGTTAAATCAAGTCTGAAGAGTTCTTCTGCACCCTGTTCTTTCTTTTTGACCTCATAGTGCTTCCTCTGATCCTTAGGGATATGAGAAGGACAAATCACATCTTTCTTAACTTTTGTTAAGTTAAAATTTAAAAACTGGTAGTGAAAAGCAATTTTTATAGATCTTAGTCAAGGAGAAATGAGACTCGATGCTTTAGGAAAAAAATATTTCTCTCTCCTATGTTTGAGAGCTTTCATGAATGAAACAAAACCAGAAGTCTGCTGCCACCTTGCTTCCAGGTCAGTTTTGCAGTGTACAGAGTAGCTCTGGATGAGTGCTGGTAACACAGAACTGGTACCTGGTACCCAGTAACACAGGTGATTTGCTTCTGAAAAAGCTACAGCAATGACACAGAGGTATCACTGTTTGAGAAGTGAACTGGTCTCCAGTCTGTGAACAGAGAGTGCCTTCCCACAATTATCTGCAGCAAAGTTCAGTTTCAAACTAACTGCTGCCAAAGGCCTGGGTTTTGCTGTTACTTGTTAAAAACAGCATGAATAGAGAGGACCATTTTCCTACAACTGCCTTGTGGTCTGTGCTGGCTGGTGTTTGGTGTTTGCAGTCTGATGAAGTCAGGAACCAGTCTCCCAGTGTTTTATACATTCCTTGCTGAGGTCGTGGGATCATGTTGAAAGGAAGGCAGGAGTACAAGAGACTACTGGCTAAGAGAGAGTTTAATCCTACATATAGACAAGCTTGATCTAAGCCTCACTTTCTCAGCAATGTGGTCCTGCCAGTGAGCTTTAGACCAGAAATAGAATAGACAGAACAATCTGCTGTGAGCAGAATTTCCTTACCTGCAGGGACAGAGTCACAGTGATAGCAGCTAGCAGTGAACCCATGATCCAGTAGCCTCCTCTTAGGAGCACTTTCCTGCCCAGCCTCTCAATGATGGAGCTCTGAAGGACAGAAATCACATCAGTGTTGGTGCTGGAGAGCAGTGTGCTCCACTCCCCGGTAATGTGACTTACACAGACTACAGCAGCTACAAGTTCAGAGAGTCCAATAGAGAGGGTCATATAGGAGGCCATTTTTTCATCAAAGCCAGCTGCCTGGAGGACTTCAAAAGTATAAAAATAAATCTGGAAAAAAAAATCAAACAGTAAGAGAAGAAAATAATTGATTTCTTATCCAAACTTGTGTGACACTGCCCTAGATATCAGCTGCTAATCAGGGAGCATGCAGCTCAGCTTTGGAGTGAGCTGGAATTCTGTACTCGTTTTGGTAGTATTCACTCTGTCAGCAGACAAAAATATTATAAAGCATTATATAATTAATTCATTAATGAGTTTAATAAAAGATAAAATGCTGGCATAATTGGATCTCCAGCTACTACAATGCAATTAGGTTTGCAAACTCCTGATTTAGGTGCTTTCAGAAACAGCCAAGTATATCTTGTTTTCAGAGCCCATCCAAAAATATCATTGTAGGATAGTCCCAAGAAAGAAGAACATGGGTTATGGAGTCATGAGGGGGCAAACCAAACATCTTTTCAAGTATCTCTGCTGGTGTTTGGAGATAGGCTGAGGTGATAAATATTCCAGTTTAAGCTGTATTAGATTCAGCTGGGTATTTCCTTTACAGATGCTGCTGCATCATGGTGTTAGAGGTAGGAGGGTCATGCAAAGCTGTGACTTCAGAAGGACTGCAGAAAAGCAGGGCTGTGAGGAAGAGCAGAGCTTCAGAAGCTGCAGAACAGGGAGCATGCTTGTGGTTAGCTTTAAGGGCAGAGTGAGCAGCCTACTGTCCCAATATCTCAGGGTGCTAAGAGCCAGGGGATAAATAGCAGCAGTTGCAGTGAGCAGTCACATAAAACTACAGATTTTGCCAGTAGAGAGTGTGGGCTCATTCCTAAGAGTGAGCTCTGGAGCTCTGCAATGGCTCCCAAAGGTGGCTGCTCAGTGAGCCTAACTACAGAGGCAGGTAACTCCAGCAAGGACGAGAGCTGGCCAGAGGCATGTCACACAGAGAGCCCAGCCAAGCTTTGTGGCTGCTGCTGTCCTGTAGAAGGGCTGGCAGACAGCAAGGTTTGGGCTGAGAAGCCTGAGAAAAATGGAGGAAGCTCCTGTGAGCTGTGATAGCTCGGGACTTTAAGGGGGAAATACACTCAACTGCATTGATGCCACATAGCTGAATTGTGGCGGTCAGGGTAACTATCATGTACAGCTGCCAACGGAAAGCTGGTTCTTTCACTAGTTCCAGGACACTCAAGATCTTGGTGTTTTTCATTGTTGCTTTCTCTTTCATGATGTCATCAATCTCTGCTTGGTGTTGGCCTTCACCCCAAAGCTGCCTTATGGCTGTGAAGAAGGAGAGCGAGACCTGCCATGTTAATTCGTCTCTGTTTGTTCCCTGAGGTTTCTGAGCAGGGGATACAAGTGTCTGGCAGCCCACTGTGCATGGGCTGGGGCTGTGCTGAGAGGCAGAGATGTCTTACAGGGTGTTCCAGAGCCCTGATCCCCTCCTGCTTAGCGGGACCTGCTGGGAGAGAAGGGCCTAGTGGGGTGTACAAGGGCTCCCTCCCTGCCCATGGGGCCACTGTTCTGCCTTCCTCCTTCTCTCAGGGTGTGAGCAGGGTACACAGCCAATAACCAGAACTAAGGGGTGCCCAATGGAGCCCTGCAGTGCAAACAGCTAATTTTCATTTATTACTTAGCATTAATCATCAGACTGACAGTGCAGGTGGTGTCAGATAAATGCGAAAGGTTTTGTAACACAGAGCTGTAGAGGGAAGTAGTTTTGTACTCTATGTGGGGACTACAACAATAATGGACTTAGTAGGTATTCACAGAGCCATGTGGGAAATGAGCAGGGAGAAACTTTGTCCTACTTATTTTTTTCTATATAGGTAAAGCAAGCATCACAAAATGATTCTGAGTCAAGTGAGGAACAGGAGCCTGAAGCCCTCAGTTACCTTTTTTGCAGCCTTCCTGGTCTCCTTTCTGCATGAGGAGATAGGGTGGGGACTCTGGGAAGAAGGGAAGTGTGACCAGCTGGACCAGTGCTGGGAGGCCACAGGAGGCCATCAGCACGGGCCACAGTGACTGGCTGCCCAGCAGCTCCCTGGCAGGGAGAAAATGGGGGTTAGAGTTCATTGCATCTGCTTTGAGGAGAGAAAGGAAGGGATGGAAAAGCAGAGGGAGAAGCAAAACGTGGAAGGGATCCAGAAATTAATTGTATGGGTAATCAAGTGCATTATACCTTTGTCCTGAAATTTGCCCTATGGCTTTTCCCAACGTCCAAAAGAAAGAGGAAGTAGAGTTTGCAAATCCACGGAGCTTCCTAGGGGAAATTTCTCCAACATATTGGTGATGTAGAGGAACACAAAGACCTTGAGGTGAAGAGGGAATTATGGGAGAGAAGAAAGAAGACATGACCGTTGGAAATCCAGTTATATCCACTGGATGTAAATAATTAAGTTTTACAGAATACAGCTGTTTCTGGCACAATCCTCCACTCACATCTGAGACTTTCAGTACTAGATTTTTTAACTCTTTACACAAAAGTGTTTGTCCTCTTTGCAGAGTGCAGTTTCCCGATCTTAAGAAATGTACAGTTTTCCCTTTGAAGTGTAGGTGTAGCCTCATCATAAGATCTCCAGTGAACCTTAACATGTTTTAAAGGACACCAGGTATGCAAGTGTATAATTAAACACTTTTTAGCAGTATTTAATATGCTTGTAGTTAACACACATAATCTCAACCTTTTCTGACATAATGCTTTTGAAGAGCTGTATGGTAGACTCATGGCAAATTATCACATATAGTGCTACAGTCAATGTTGATTTGTATGTGATTTAGGTGGAGACATGAGTATTTCTTTTCTGCTATCCAGCAATAATTTTTATTATTTCAGGCAGAATTGATGTTTCCAGTTATATTTATTGACTCAGATATGCTAAATGCTAGTCTGGGAAAAGAAGCTTTTTCTTGATATGGTGGTCACAGCCCCTTTTATTTGTTTCAAACGCAACATGTTCTTCTTTTGGCTGTATGTGATGGCAAAGCTATCTCTTCTGATTGCAGTCTCTTTAACAAAAAATCAGATTTTTGAATGGGGTATGATATAGATTCTAGAACAGAGCAAGGCCCCTGTTGGTGAGCTGTTCTCGAAATACAGCCATAGCTCTTCAACACATCTCTTTGTCAGAGAAGCAATGTACAAAATCTGGTTATTTGAAAAATAGGCATTAACCTCTAAGTTAACTCTTTAATAAGATAAAAGAGGCATCCCTGTGAATATGCAAACAATAGAAAGGCAAGTTTTGTGTAAGGAAAAATACAAAAAAAATACTGATAGCAGCACAGGATGTTTTTACTGCCTGTAGTTTACTTGCCAGGAGTAATTTTGCTTTATCAAGCCCAGATCTCTGTACTAACCAAGGACTTACTACTTGGAATACTCCTCCTTATGAAAATACTAGCTTTAAACTGTATACCTTTCAGTACTGCTAGCTAAATTTAAGAAAATATTATACATATTTTTCCTTCAGAAAATCCCATTTGTTTCATGAGGTATCAAAACATTTCTGACATCTCTGAATACTCATACACTTGGCAAAGCTGAATTTCACTTGATATCAGTGAAACTGATAATAATTATGCTCTTTATGGCAGAGCATTATAGAAAATCTTCTTACAAATGGTCACTGACTTCAACATTTTGTTTTCTTAGTGGAGGTTTATTATTTACTTTGAAAAAAGATTTGAAAAAAGTAAAATTTTGTGAGATTCAGCTGACCTGTGGGAGAAGTCACTCACCTGCACTTACTCCACACATGAAGCGTCCAATTAGAATCATCTCAAAGGACTGGGATATTTTACTGCAGCCCATGATAGATGCTGCCACTATCATCAGCACGTTGTTACACAAGAGACATTTCTTTCTATAAGTGCAAGAAAATGAAAATAATTTTTGTGGCTCAGAAAGGAAATGGCACTTAATGCCAGGCAGGAAGTTGGCTGAAGTTGTCTTGATGATGTTTTGAAAATACACATATGTGGTCCAGGACAAAATAAGCACTGGGTACTTTGGACTCATGGTGTGCCTTGGCATGTGGCTGCACCTGGGAGTTTGGGAACACTTCTGGGGTGTGTAGCAGAGAAAACTCTGAAAGCACTTCTGTGCTTGAACATCCACTGTGAAACACATTATTGCAGCTCCAACAAGGATGTGAATGCTTCTGTGTTTTGAGTAGCACTTTCCAGAACCCATTCTGACTTCAGCCAGGTGCTGCCTTTCCCCATTGCTGAGATTAACCCAGCCTGAGGAGCTGTGGCTGGTGTGACAGGCTGGCAGCACAGTCCATGCCACAGGACATGGGCAGGAAGCAGGAGAATCAGCTGCCACCACAGCTAAGCTGGCTGTACTACCACTGAGTCTTAAAACCTGTCTCATTTAAAACCTCAACTATCTTTTTTTAAGCTAAGATTGAAGTGACAAATCGTCTTTGAGCATACATACTTGCCAAATTTGACAGTGAGGTATCTGCTTCCTGAAGAACCCAAGAGACCTCCTATGCCAAAGATGGACACAGTGATAGACCACAGCAGCAGGAGGTTATCCTGCTGGATGGGATAGCCATAGCGCTCCAGCCAAGTTTCATTGATGAAAGCCTTCACATGCTGAGACAGAAAAAATAAAATCATTAACAATACCTATTATTAACAATAACAGCAGGGCAGGTATTTTATCATATTTACAAAGTAATTTTGTTGCTTCAGCTGGAGTTACTATTTCACATAGGCTTTAGAAGTGTGTATTAGCTAAGACATAGTATAATAGGGTGTGCTATGCTCATTCTGCCATTAGAAGTTCAATCTTTGGGATTTTTATCCTTGAAATCTGAGGAAGCAAGGCATGGACTGGTACTAAAGAATAGTGTAAACAGTACTACAAAGTTCTGCAAATGAGTTGTGGGTTTTCTCTGACATACCTGCCAAGAATACCACATTACACAGAGCCTGTTCAGTGCGATTCCTAAATACTTTTTCACTCAGAACTTAGTGCTCTGAAGCCAGAAAATAATGCTTTTCCACTAAGGTGATGTCTACAAAATAACAATGTCTTCCCTCTAGACTTCAGTGCCCTTAATGGAAGTTTTTCCTGTGATCAGTGGAGAGAAGCAGACTTTTCCTAGAGCATGGCTCACTTGTTCTATTTTTCTGTGAGGATGGATAAAATAAAAATGTCACCTGAAACCATTGAAGAAGACACATGTGCTATAATATTTTAGGGGAGACTGATGCCACCCTAGTTAGTGTGTGTCTTCTGAGGGACACTTCTATCAACAACTCTCCTGTTTGCAACACTGCTCCTCATGATAGCACAGCATAGCAAATGGGAAATGAGAGGAGAAAACTGTGCTCAAACCCTTTCTGAATGCCAGAGCAGCAGCCTCAGGCAGCATGGAGACCCAGTGCTCTCATTAACCACAGTGCCAGGTGCATCTTTGCCTACCTGAGACATGTAGGTGATGGTAGAAATTTGAAAGCCGATTTGGAATGTGCCACCGATCCCCAGGACAGTGATCATGCGAAAGAGCCCCCGGTACTGAACCTGCAGAGGTAGAACAAAATCTTCTGAAGTTTGTACCCACATCAGGCTGTTGTCACAATGTCTTTCATTCTCCAGAAGCATCTCATTTGTTCAGGGGATTTTCAGGTAGGAACGTTCCCTCTGCTTGTCCTGATGTGAGATGTACATCCTCCTGTGATTTCCCTACATCATCTCAAGGAAGTGCAGCTTCCACAAACATCCTTGTCAAGGCACCATGGCTTCTAGCATCCAGTCCTGTTCCCTGCCTCTCAAAACCTCTGCTGCCATGTCTTGCACTAAATAATTAGACTTATTTTAAAAAGCACTTTTTTTTTTTTTTACCAGGTAAGCAAAGCAAATTATGTTTCTAGATAAGCAAGTATTTTCCAGTCCATGAAAACATGTAAGACACATTAACATATTGATAAAAATATGGTAAAGATGGATGGCAAAGCTTATGAAGTGCTGTAATACCTCTAAACAGTGGGCAGAACCACTTCCAAGATGCTTGTAGCAAACCCTTGTTGTTATCAAGACACCAGTTTTGTTTTCTTTGAAGCCCCAGTAGCACACGAAAATGTCCCAGATGTAAATAGGCCACCAAGCACTTACCAGGTTTGAAAGGAAACCAGTCATCTCTGCCTGAGGGCCGGCTGTCCAGCTTGTGGTGTGTCTTTGTCATCACAGGCTTGTGTCTCTCTGTCTCCTGCCTGCTGCTACGGCACTGGGCATTTGGCTTCAGGGATCAGAGTTAAATTTTGACTATTTCATCTTCACTCACTTATATTTACTTCGACTGGCCAAAGTTAACACTGCCAGATTAAATATTTCAGGAAATAATTACATCTAGTCCAGTCTCCAGGGGGAAAGCTTCAAAGCAGAGAAAATTTGCATCTGGGGACCAGTGAGGGCTTTGGAAAGGGAAACAAGAAGAGTTCAGGCAAAACAATCCAAACAGGTTTCCAGGAACAGTAAAATGCTTTACTTCTATGATATACACTAGTGTGTATATATGCCACAATCTGCAGAAAACAAAAAGCACCTGGTATAAGGTTTAGCTACTGTTATTTATTAATAAGTATGTGGTGTACTGTTCTGTTTCAGGTTCTTTGATAATGTTAATATTGTAATTAGAAGAAAAATAAGCAAATTTCAAAGGCTCATTTTGCTGTTCTGGCCTCATGAATCAGTTAGATTGTGCTGAGGAAGGGTATTTGTTGTCTGGTGTTTATGGGGATGTTGACCAGTTGTGGTGAAAAACAGTAAGAGACTAAGACTCATGAAAGTTGTCAAAAAAGGTAAATATGCCCTAATGAATTGGGATAGGATCATGGGGATCTTCCTCCCTCAGGTTTCAGCTTTGACACAGAATGGCTCCAAAATCAGTGTTGCAGGCAGTGAAAAATCACCTTTGATTCCCAGAGGCTCCTTTTACATAGGTAAAGCTCCAGCTGTAGCTCTGTGTAGCTTCCACTGCAGCCAGCACTGGGAAAGAGAGCTTGGTTTGCCTGTGGCTTTCCTGTGTGGCTGATGCCCTGTGCTTCTCCTGTGTGGTTGATACCCTGTGCTTTCTTCTCCTGTGTGGTTGATACCCTGTGCTTCTCCTGTGTGGTTGATACCCTGTGCTTTTCTTGCCTTCAAAGTCTTTGCTCATTCTCCTCATGCCAAGGGACTGTCCTGGTGGGGACAAATGGGGCAATGGGTTTATACTGAGATCCTCAGTAAATGCTCAAGCTCACCCTCCGTTGTATTTTCAGTTTATAAAACACAGAAGGTAATTATTTACAGAGGGGTTCACTGCAAATCCTGTGAGTCTAAATAAATGAGAAAAAAGTGCATGTTAATATTAAAACCTTGGTGACTTGTGTAACTCCAACTATTGTCTGTATAACTGCATAGCAAATGCTGTTTTTCCTGGCTGGCAGTAGTGTTTAGAATGATTTGGCATTTTTTGTATTTTCTCTTGAACACTGACATTGTAACTACTTGCATATCTCTTGGCTATTGTTTCAAAATGTCAATGTTTCCTTTTGATTACGTATTTTTTCTCAAATTGTGGTGAGGTGTAAGGAGGCTGTCATAAGGATTCACCCCTTGAAAATCATTACTGAGGACCTCAAATAGCAGCATATCCCACCAGCTCACAGTGAAATTTCTCTTCTATTTTGAGGGATTTCTGGTGATTCTGAGCCATGGTACTATTTCACCTTATTACAATTTTAGGAGAAATTAATTCTAGGAGCTTACTTTTTAGATTTTTGTGAAATTAATGAAGTTGACCATTTCTGTTGGAAATGTCACCTATATTCTTGAAAAAGCTGCTACACTGGCAGTTGTGCATGATTTCATGTTTAAAGAATTATTACTGAGTTAAGGAGATCTTGTAATGTTTTTTTTTTTTAATAGAGCTGTAAGAAATGCTTGCTGTGAAATGGACAAACACATGAACCCCACCTCCATGAGGTGTGTCAAACAGTTTTGTGTAAAGAGCTGAAAATCAGGCTTGGTTCTAAGCCAGCTTGAGTCACACTGGACTCATTGAGGGTGACTGAAGCCATCTGCAGTTTAATTTCACACCTAGAGAAACTCAGTGGTTTCTTTTAGATTTGATTTGAGTTTGTTACAATCCAAAACTCAAAATGAAATTCTGAATAACAAAATCATGGGCACTGGAACTAAAGATGTTTAGGTACAAAACACGTTCTGAGTGAAATCTAAGACTTTAACATAGCATACCTTTTATATAACAATGACTTGTTGATTGCTGACTGTTCTTTCAAGATCATATGAGAGTGACTCTCATTTGTGAAGATTTCAGTTGTATGTGTGAAAAAATATTGGTATCTTTTCTCGTAATAGAAAACAATAATTTGCCTTTGTCTTGCAGTCTGCAAGCATCAAGGTCTTTTAAGACCTCATATATGGTCTTTCTGCTGACCACTTGCTGTTGGTGTTACTTCCTCAAGGGAAGTATTTCCTGTAAAGGAATGAGGTCTCCTAAAATCTAACATGCCAAATTCATCATTATTTTCATTTAAAAGTTTTCCTTTGTTTCTGGAATGAAGAGGAAGATAAAGATGTTGAGCTGATGAGGATCTCAGCAAAGGTAAGGAAGAAGAAATAGATGAGGATTTCCTGCAAATAAATCAGAGAAAGAAAATTTTATTTTATTTTTTTGCTCCTCCTTTTACAGCATTTTGAACATGATGACAAAATGATGACAATGAAGGCAAAGTTTAACTTCATGAAATCCAGTTTGTTTGGTTACTGTGACATGATATGCTCCAATCTTTAGGTGTGAAACAGCAATTGAAATAAAATAGTTAAAATTTTCTTCTTTCCTGAAGTCAAGATAGGGAGGGTGAGTAGTCAAAATAATTTGAGATGTCTCTTGCAGATGTATGAGTGAAAGGCCTTGGGATAGGATTAAAACAACTCACAAACATTAATATTGGCAGGTTAATAATCAATTCTCTGGTTTATCAGTAACTGCAAGAGATGCAGCAATAGTGAGCACTTGGGAGAGCAGGGCTCCCGAGGTCTGGCTCTTTGGACTGGTGTGGTTTGGGAGGATGAATGCAGGAGATGGAAAGGCCATGAAGCAGAGGAGGAGCCCAGCCAAGCTCCCTGGCTTCTTGCAGGAGGCACTGGAGCTGTATCAGAGCCAGCCACTTCACAGGAAGGGACAGAGGGATCCAAGGTAGCTTTTTAAACCAGCCTTGGTGCTGTGTGACAGGGATGAACAGTCTCTCTGCAGTGTTCCAGCTGTGCTTCTGCTGAGAGCAGCTCCTGCAAAAGGACCAGCAAAGAGAGAAATCAGAGAGAAGGAGCTGAGACATGAAAGTGGAAATTACTGCAGAAGAACACACCACTGATCTGGTACAGTGCCAATGGTGAGCACTGATCCCAAGGGCTATTTTTCCATCTGTCTATTGAGTTAGCAACTCTATGGCTTTAATGTGTGCTCAGCCCAGTTCAGAGGTACTGCCACCTGCAATTGCATTTCACTGTGGAACCTGGGCAGACTGGGAAAGAACAGCATGGAAGAAGAGAAATGTTACATTTGTAATCCATTTGGCCTCATGCTGTCCTTGTCTCTCACGGGAGACACAGGCATTAGAAATTCCCCTGGATAGCACTGCAAGCTGCACTGTCAGAGAGGGCAGAGGGAAGAGGGCATGGCAGCAACATCTGTTGAGTGTAGATACTGATGTGTTTGTTACCTGAGCAGTGTACTCAGAGGCAGCTATAGGCAAGCTCTTATCCTTTTTTGTGCAAAGAGGAGTGGGGGAAAAAAAAGTCAACAGAAGAAATTTGCAATTGGATTTGTGAAGCACCCTTTACATTTTGACCCCACTATCAATGGTCCTGAAGATGCTGTATCTGCTTTTTTTGTCATGGAGGAAGATTTGTTCATAGAGGTTTGAAAGGGACTTGTGAGGGATCCACCAGCTCCCAAGACAAGGAGCATTACAACCACTGGTACTGAACATGCAAGGAGCAGTTCAAGTTCATCATAGAAGAAGCTGTGATATCATAGCCCTTGCATTTCTAGGATATTGGCTTGTTTGATGATGCTTAAACCATCTCAGCAGAACATGCAAAGCATAAATGCAAAAAAAGATCAGCCAGATAAAGGTTCTGGATTTTCAGTTTTGCTGTTTTTCTTCACATTAACTAACTAAACCATTCACAAAACCTTTCTTTTCAAATGTGCCATTTCATAACATTAGCAGGCTACCAGCTAGGAGAGTAGCCTGATAGTATCACACTTGGACATGGAAGCAAGCAGGTAAAAATGGTACAGAAATACCTCACCATCTAAGAAGTACAGGAATTTAATTTCTAATTTTTTTAAAGTAGTTTTTCTAACCAGCTGGAACTTCCTTCAAAGTTTCCATGATGATTTAGACTTTTGATTTTTAAATTTTAAATGTTAGCTCTAATTTTAAAGGATTATCCCCTGCCCACCCTATTATTTTGAAAGAAGTTTGTAAATATGTAATGCATTATCTTTAGGAATGGCAATTGCAACAGGAAACCTCTCAGTTCTTTTGAAAGTTAATGCTGCCAGCTGCAGTACTCACCACTTCTGGAAGGAGTTTGTCCATCTACATCAGGAGTGTGGCTGATCCCAGGCAGACAGAGCTCTGTCAGACTGAGGAAGTGTTTTCTCCCATACCTCCTCTGCACCTTCAGCTTAAGTAGCCATCCTACTCTGAGGCTGAGGTTAATGTTTACTTCGTATGATTTCTGTTGATTTATGCTTTTGTAGCAATTGGACAATGCTTAAAATGGGTGGATTAAATGTTTCAGTCTCTCAACAGGAGAGGGCCCTCTGAATGGGAGCATTCACCATCACGAGTACTCTCTCTTTTGATACAGGGAGTGATAAAGGGAGTGCATCTAAAGCCTAAATCAGGTTTCAATTGCTGGAACACACACTGGCACTTTAATATCAGAGCTTCTTCTGTGGTTATTCCTTGAGAAGCAGTGAGTATATTATTTGAAATTTTTAAATAGAAAACTCCCTAAAACTCAACACTAATTCAGACCTCAGCACAATAATAATAAATAAGAATGGGTAAACTACAGAAAGAAAGGACTTATGGTCCTGCTAAAGAGGAGGCATGAAATACCTTGGTAGAAAAAGGAAAAATAATTGATCATCCTATACAAAGGCAGAAAAGTTTGGGGAGGGAAGCGATTGGACACTGCAGTGTCCAGCAGGACTGGCGGCCCTTGAGCAGCACAGTGCAGGGAGCACTGAAGTGTAGGATTGTGGGTGGTGTGCAGCAGCAAAGTGCAGGCTGTCCTAGAGCAGCACACAGCCAGCAGATACTGGATAGCACAACTTCTCCCTTTTTTTGAGCAGTTACTTTTTATAAAATGGGCTGAATTTTCAAGCTGTCTACTTTCTCAAAATCTTACTCTCTGTCTCTCTCCAGAGTTCTTTTCTTCCAGCTCTCAGCACCGTGTGTGTACTTGTTAACCCTTGTGCCATCCATGAGGCACCAGAATATATTACAAGAACTTCCTCCTGATTTTGCTACAACTGATCTGCATGGAGAGTGCAGCCAATTTGCTCCAGAGGATGCAAGTGAGAGTTCTCCTCTACCAAATGCCTGGGGATCAGGGCTGATCCCTGACAGTCATAGAGACAATCAGGACATGCAGTTACTTCATGGCAGCTCAAGGAAATAGATGTTATTCTACCTGGCATTTGCATTCTACCTGGCATTTGTTCTACCTGGTATTTGTATTCTTCCTGGTATTTGTTCATGTGCAGCGTTCACATTCAACGCTAAGTCCTTTACAGTGTGATAGCATAAAGAAATGACATGAAAATTGTTTGCAAGAACTATGGCTATGTTTAATCCTATCTTCATCCTGCTCTTAATCCTGAGCAGAACTTTCTTACCAAGTAAGAAACATAGACACAAATCTTGCTGCTTTAAAGTGATAGCAATGGAGAAAAACTTGAAATACAGTTGACATGTTATGCCAGAACAGTGGAAATTACTTATGGTGGCATATCAGAGCTTGGTGCAAAATGTCTTTTCTTCAGCAGCATACATCTCCACAGCCTGATGGCTTTTCCTCTTAAACTGGCAGTTTTTGAATTTTTCTGTGATTTCAGACGTTGACTTCCCTTTTGTTTCTGGGAGGAACAGGTAGATAAGAACCACTGAAATGATCAGGACAGCAACAAAGATGAGGAAGCAAAAAGGACCAAGTAGCATCTGGAGATAAAAAATAGAACAAGATGAGTGATTTCCTTGGCAACACTTGCACCTATAGATTCTTGAAACTTGTTGATTTGTTCCTGTGAAATAAGGAATAGGCTCATTTTACAGAAACAATATTTATTTATCTTTTCAATCTGTTCTTGGGGCAGCAAGTGGTTTCTGAAGTACTTGGAAATGTTTTATATAAATGGCCTCCATATGCCATAGCAACAAGAGATTCACAGTTTTGATCATCTACAAGTCATTTCATCCTACTCCCTGTCCAGATCAGCCTAGAAATCCAGATTAAATTGACAGAGCCAAAGAGAAGATTTGAATCCAATTACATACTACAGCAAAGGGGAAAACCATTCCAGTGAAGGTGAGGCCCAGCCAAATGACGATTCCACCAATTACAAAAGCAGAGGCCCTTGTTGACAGGGTGAAGATTTCATTCATGACAGCCACAACAGCTCCAGCTGAGAGGAAAAAAAACAACATTAAAAAGTGATAGAAACATTAATAATTGACCACTGTAATTGACCACTTCCCATAGAAGATACCTCAGCTCTGCTACTGTGGGAATTCTGTCATGCTTTCAAGACATTCATGGCTGTCAGGTACAATCCTTACAACACTAAAAACTGACATTTTAATTTGGAGACTTTAGTAATTACTGTTATGTTTAGTCAGAGAACTTCCAGAGTAAATCCTGGTCTTAGATGAGTGAGGTTCTACCAGAGAGCTGCAATTTTGGGTCTGGTGTCACTGATGTAGGTGACTAAGGATGATATTAAGAGAGGACAAGAAAGGACAGAGCAGTGCTAAGAGGCAGATTATGCATGCTGTCAGGTGTCAGTCTTTCACAGAGTATGATTTTACAGGTAAGTTGAGAAAACTCTGATATTTTAGAAAAGCCTACCTCTGCCCTTGGCAGAGATCAGCCATCTGAACCTCTATGCACTGAATAGTATTCACACTGCAAAACAAGTCTTCATGAACTGATTAACAAGGATTTATTTGGTTTGAACCCATAAACCAGTGAGAGAAAACAGGGTCCTGATTTATCTGGGTGTAAAAGGTTTCTTAAAGAAATTGTTTCTTGGGTAATTAATTCATCAAAAGTTGAGATTCCCTCAATCTCAGTCTCAACTAAGCTGTTGATTTTCAAAGATATATTCATGCATTCTAGTTCTACTTCCATACATTCATGGCCTATACTTATCCCTGTGGTCCAAGCTTTCCTGATGCTTTTATTGTGGTGCTCACCTGGTCCTAGTCCATAAGCAATGATGAACAGAAAGATGAGAATAACACTGCAGTACCGCAGCCAGAGGAACTGATCCTAGACAAAGGCAAAGGGAGGGAAGAGAACAAAAATCAATTTTATAGCTGTAACACAGCTGATCCAAGCACAGGAGCAGCAATATTTGGGAAAAAGCCCATGATGCTGAGCTGTGTAATTGATGCTCTAGACCTGCTTATCTTTCCTTACTGAACCAGAAGCAGCTGGTGGTGTCATGTCTAGAGAAGACATTCTGACCTGCTGGTTTGGACAGGAGAGCAAAGGCTGCTGTCCTGCACAGAGAATTCTGATGCAGGTCCACTCGTGCAGAGACATTTTCTTACACTCAGCAGAAGGCTCGTTTCAAGCAACACCAGGATCAGTGCCATCAGCAAATAACCCCCACACAGGAGCATTCGGCGTCCAAACCGATCGATTATGGAGCTCTGAGGAATAGAAACAAATATTGCCTACCACTGGAAGCATGGCAAAATCCACCTGTGAGCCATCCCACAAATAAAGCATTCACCTTGAGTTCTTTTTATGTCAAAGAACACAAATCTTATTGGTACCAACTTTGTTATTTTATTGAATTCCTTCTACACACTCTAATACTATGAATTACCATCACTGCCCAGCATTGCAGCTACTTCTTAAACACTGTAATTGATGGAAGCATGGTACAGCTCCATTTGAAGGTATAGCTATGCACAAATATGTGGAAATGAGTGCACATATTTATGTTTGAATGACACTTTGTAAGGGATTCTTATAAGAAATTAAGATGAATGAAGATGGGATGAAACACATGAAAGTTGGGACGAGACTTGCAGTGGATGGTGACAACCTCTGTACAGATTTATGCAGCACCACAGAAAAATTCTTTGGTTCATAAGGAGAAGATTCATTTGCTTCAAAGAAGAATACTTTAATTCTTAAAACCCCAGGAAGCTCTGACTTACACAGAATATGATAGAGATGAGTTCAGAGATTGAAACTCCTAGAGATACATATGGGATTATGCTTTCCTGGAGGTTGGCTGTTTCAAAAATTTCTGAGGTGTAAAAGGTGATCTGGGAAATAAGAAAAATTAAGCACAATTAATAGATGTGATATGTGCTCATCCAGGATCACTTACAACTGGATATGTCCTCACTGCAAAACCAGAAATACATTACTGGGCCTTAGTAGAGGTAACATAACTGCTCCAGATGTGAGAAATCGAAAGGTTAATGGCAATCAAGGAAACATATTTGTAAAGGGGGGGAAAAAAAGGAAAAAAAAAGTAGTTGAAAGGAGCATATTGCCTGTAAGACATGGGAAAATGTGATGTTTTGGCAAACAGGAAAAGGAAAGGGACAAGACAAGAGAAAGAAAAGCAAATCTCAGTCTTAGCACACCAGACATTGTCAAGCAAACTGTTGATTCTGATCTTTTCCAATTGCTAAACAGAAACTGCTCATCTGCAGCATCCCTGAGGGAATGGGCACCATCTCCCTGCCAACAGAATGCAGAGGGAATTCCATTGCTGGCAGCTGGAATGAACCACCTCCAGCACAGGCTGAACCAGGGCTTATGGAGAGACCTCCAGACAAGTGAGAACATGAAGGGGATGACTGCCAGCTTGGGCTGCACTGGGCTCAACCAGCTTTATGTGGAAACTGCTGAAAGGATAAATGCTTCATGGATAAATGTCCTTTCTCAAATGAAACTAAACTGGATGGCAATAGCTGGCCATCTGCTACTGCAGAAGTCAAAGAAAGAGGTGCTGGGTTGCTGTAATTTAGGATACTTGTAACCCTTTCGTCTACAGATTCCTTGGTTGTACCACCAGGGGAATGAAGGCACAGTGCCCTTATAGGAACTTAGACTGAGTTGGAGCTCTTGTATTCCCACCTGAGAAGCTCCCTGAAAGGTATGAACAGGTGTCAGGCAGTGGGCTCTGTGTGAGGAGGAATAATGCAGACCCAGAGGAAAGGGACAAGTTGGCATTGTGGTAATTTGGAGACTTAATAGCAGATCCAAGCATGGAAATAGGGCATACTCAACTGCACTCAGGCCACAGAGCTGCAGGCTCAGCAAAAGGAGGAGCATGGTACACAGCTGTGGGTGCACAGATCGTTCTCTCAGCACCTCTAGGACATTCATGATTTTGGTGCCTTTTGTTATAGCCTTTTCCTTCATCAAGTCATCAAATTCTGTGTGATAATTCCCTTCTCCCCAGAGTTGCTTCATGGCTACAGAAGAGACAGAATGAAGTATACTCCTCCATCATTTGATCCACTCATAATTCTGTGTTTTTCAGCTTTTAATGACATTAAACATTTGCACTTGAGTTCATGCTTTGATTCATCAGTTACTGAGCAAAGGACTGGAAGGAACATCACTTACTGGAACATGGTGAAAGTGCCCTGGAAAATGCTGTAGCAGTTAGGGGTAGATCTTAAATATCTCTGATGACTCTGCTTGGTCTGGAGGACTTTAATCATGCAATTATCAAGAAATCTGTGGCTGGCTAATAGAAAAGCCAATTCCTGCTGTTAGATTCACTTTCCCAAGAGTTTTGACCTAACAAACTAAGGATATAAAGTTTTATTTTACCTTTCAAGCAACCAGCTTTGTCTTCTTTTTGCAGCAAGAGATAGGGCGGGGACTCAGGAAAGAATGGCAAAAAGATCAGTTGAATCAATGCCACCAGCCCAGAGAAGGACAATAGCACATTCCACATGTCTTCAGTTCCTAAAAGTTCTCTATGAAAGCATGTTAAAATCTATTTATAGTCCAGTAAAAATACAGTTTATAACTAAATAGGGATTTTCTAAATTCTAGGCTAGCTAAAGAGACCCAAAATACATAGAGTCATTGAAAAGTTCAATTGAAATAGATGATGTTTAGGTTAGTGACAGGAAAATAGACTTATACTTTATTTCTTCTGCTAGACTGACATTTTTCTTAGACTTTTAATTTCTGAAGGTCAAAATATTCCCACAACAGCTCTCTGAACCAACACTGCAACTCTGCATGAAATTATCAAGAAATTAGCAAAACTTTTAGATCTCACAAGTTTACTAAGAATATTTACATACAATCTTTTCTTATTAACTGCACCTTCAGAGACTGAGTCTTCCTCTCCCAAGAGAAAGGCCTTTCTGTCCCCAGGGAACGAACATGGAAACCTCAGTGACTTGTATGGGGTAGATGCCTTCTCTTTGACTGCTGTAGTTAAGCAAAATTAAACCCCACTCTTGGTGTATGTCTGATTCCAGGACTGGGAGAACATCACTTCCCTGCTATATAGAAGAAAAATAAATATAAAACAGGCAGAAAAGGAGTAGCACAGGCACCTTAATCCAAGAATTCGTGCTACAGTTTTTCCTAGTGCAAGAAACACTGTGGAGGTCACGTTTATAAGTCCACGCAGCTTCTTAGGTGAGATCTCTCCAGCATACTGAACATGGGCATTCATATGTATTCCTAAAGGGAGAAGACAGGAGAGTGCTAAAGCTGTGGAAAGAAAGAGACAGGGTCCCTTTTCAGTTCCCCTTCAGCTCTGTCCTCTCTCTTCTGAACCCTCTCCCATATATCCTCTGCAATAATGGGCTGAAAATGTACCTTTTATTTCAATCAAGATGTTTAGCTAATCCATCAGATCTCTCTGCAAGAGCTCTTGAAGGCAAAGGACAGCTCATCTTCCCTTGTCCCAGTCTGTTCCTTGTTCCACTGGCTTCCAGAACATTCCTGGGCACTCCCAGCAGGAAGATTTCTGTACCCACCCCAAAGAAGTCCCACTACCATGGGCCAGGGGGGAGTCCTACCAGCAGCCATGCCCTCGAGGAAGCGCCCAGCCAGGATCATCTCAAAGGCCTTGGCTCTCCTGCTGCAGGCAGTGAGCAGCGCTGCTGTTATCAGCACCACGTCGTTGAGCAGCAGACTTTTCTTCCTGCAACAGTGAGCAAAACCTGGGTATGATCCATGTTTTACTTCTTCTTCCTTGACTGATGTTTGACTCTTCTCCTCTGGCTTACAGACTGAAGCCATGGCCACGTTTAACCCACTGCTTATAGGACAACCAAATCTGGTTATAAAAAGGCATGATGTTATCGAATTCAGGCAACCCCGACGAAGGGGAGAGATGAGGAGGACTCCATCTTATCAGAAGGCTAATTAATTACTTTATTATACTATATTATTCTATAATATATTACACTAAATTACATGGCATCTAAACTGAATCTGCCAAGCACTAATCTCTGCACACAACTGCACCCCACTGCACTCATCTCGTTACTCTCTCGTGACTGTCACGGACAGTCCCAACACACACACACACACACTTGGCCCTGCTAGGCCAAGGAAACAAAACACCATCACTCTGGGTAAACAATCTCCATACTGCATTCTACTTTGGCACAGCACAGGCACAGCAAATGATAAGAATTTTTTTTCCCTTTCTCTGAGGTTCAGAGAATGTGAATCTCAGAAATATTCTTGGGAAGAATTGTGCCTTGCTTTTCTCTGTGAAGAGAAATGTGGCGACATGATGTCTTTGCAGAGGAGGGCAAAGGGAGAAGCTGGATTCCTCTTACTCGCTGTGTGAGCAAACCATGAGGCTGAAGGAAACTCCTGCAGGGTAAAATGTCAGCAAAACTACGGGAATTGTATGTCAACAAAAGCTGTGACAAGGGAATCAGAAATACCTGCATGTTCTTATCTCTCCAATGCACCTTGGTTTCCCTTTACGTGCTGGGTAAATTCTGCGGCAGCAGGGGGCAGTGAAATTCTGGTATCCCTTCTTTTACTTGACTAATATTTAATAGCTTCTCCTGTTACAGCCCTGGGTAGCGAGGTGCTGGGAAATTACTTACTTTCCAAATTTTGCAGTCAGGTAGCCACTCCACAGACACCCTATCATGCCACCCATGCAGTACACAGACACGATGAGGGACCACAGCAGCATCAGGGTCTCCTGAGGCAGCGCAGAACCGTATCGCTCCAGCCAAGTTTCATTGATAAACTTCTGAATGTACTGGGACAAAAAAGAGATTTTTGTTCCACCAAGGCACTAATCATAAAGTTCTTCATAATGTTTACAATTTACTGAATGTACTGGGACAAAAAAGAGATTTTTGTTCCACCAAGGCACTAAAGTTCTTCATAATATTTACAATTTTAAAAAATTAGATTAATAGTTGTGATTAAAAGCATGACTATAGGATGTTTGTTTGCAAATAAGGATTGCTATTTCCTCTCATACGGCCTAATAGTGTACAAGCATCTTTCAAAAATTAATTATACTCTTTAGTGTGTTGAATCCTACCTCTCCCACACCAAAAAATTAGGACCTTATATTCTTTATAGTAAAGTGCACATGTTCTTGTGGCCAGTAATGGATATAAAGAGAAAAGGGCTGAGCTGAAGTCTGACTCCATCAGCTATTTTTGGGGTTTTTTTCCTCCGTGGCATACACTTTAAGGAGGTATCTCAATATGCTGGTTCCACAAACTTCCGGGGGGAGTTGTCTTTGGAGCACAGCTCCTTGCAGTCATGCACACTTTGACAGTGACAGTATGGCATTGGAAACAGCTGGCAATAAACTGACACAACAACATCTAAAAGCTTTTGTCACTCATCTGTAAAGTGCAAGGCCCAGGACCATGAGGAACAGTTAGAAATGGGATTTTCTTTTCTCCAGCTTTGCCTACCGGAGAAGTGTAATTGATGACAGACATTTGGAAACCAGAGAGGTGGGTTCCACCAATCCCCAGCACCACAATCATCAGCAACAGCCTTCGGTATTGAACCTGCCAAAGAGAACGAAACACATCCTAAGCTCCTGATACCAGCACACCTTCCAGACCATGAGATAATTTACAGCACCTTACACCTTCACACTTCTATGACTAAGAAACCTTTAACATGCAAAAACCCATCTTGAATTTCACAATAATCAAGCAAAATTCATTTGTTAAATCTTTAAAATACACATCTGCACATTCTGCTATGTTCCTCTCCCAGCTATTAGCAATATGAAAAGATACATTCTCTAATTCTGTTTCTGCTAACATTCTTCTGCTAACCACAGAAAACAAAAATCATGAAAGCCTTGTTGAGATCATTTGTGTTTACCTTTGTACTAGAAAGAAGCTACAGCTTTCTTGAATCCCTTTTTACTTTCACCTTTGCCTCCTCAGGGACAGTGTTCACCGTTTTTCAGAGATGACTCACGTCTGTCTTCTCAAAACTTTTTTTTTACATTTCACTTTTATCAACCCTGTGTGAAATGACATTTTAGAGGCCCTATCTGAATGACTCCTATTGGAAATGCTGTGTTTCCATGATGTACACTGAATTTCAGAGCATTTCTCACAAGCACAAATGTTTTCAGGCATTTAGTCAGGTCACATTTTAAACTCATGAGTATCCTCAATTGTCCTTGAGAGCACAGAGCCATAGAGTGGGGGAGTTTTTTCTGTTTCGTGTTTTTCATTGATACTGTGTTCTCTTTCTCCCCCCAAATTCCAATCTTTCCTAGTTTCCAAGGTCCTCTTTTAAACCTCTAACTGTTTTGCATTTCTAATGTATTTTTTGCAGATGCCATTTAGTCAGTCATTGCTCAACCAGTGTTGTCCCAAGCTCTGTTGCTCATTTTTATTACAAGAAGTATTCCCTTCGCTGCAATCTTAGACCATGCTGCTGTTAGTGACCAGGGCTAGAACACAAGAGTTTGGATACTCACCAGGTCTGAGAGGAAACCAGCCATTTCCCCTTGAAACCCTGCCCGCTCTGAGAGCCCTTGTCAAGACTGCCAGATGAGAGAGATGGGTTCCACGCTGAGATTGTAAGAGTTTGGGATCACAGAACAGAAGTTAAATTCTAACTGCGTGGCTTTTAGCAAATTGTGTCCTCCCCTGACACTGGCCAGGGCCTCTTCTTGCTGGTTTAATTATTCTAAGATCCAGATATGACAAGCTGATTACAACATTGGTAAATGTTTATCCTTCTTGGATTGGGAGCACTGGCCCTTACTCACATTGCTACAACCCCCAGTGTTCCTGTTGTGTGAGGAGCCAGACCATGCCACAACCTTCCCTTCAGTGGAACAGAGTCCCTCCTCACCTTTCTGAAAAGCAGCTTGGGCAGGGGAGGTTTTCCTCCCCTCCAGTCTACAACAGGCCTTTAGAATTGTAGCTCAGCCATAATGCCTCTTCTTGCCTGCTAGAAGATTTACAATTGCCTGAACAATTACCCAGACACAGGAAATGAAGTATTGGAATAGTGGCATTTTGTGTCCTTGCTCACACCCAGCTCTTTACAGAGGCTCAGAGATTTTCCAGAGCCACTCAGAGGCCTGTCTGTGACAGTGGAACTGACCCACTGTGTGCCAGAGCACGATGCCACATCACAGTGGGCAAGGAGCTGAAGAGCCTGGAGGAACTAGAGGGGAAAGGAAGATCTTTCTTTGAGTTGAGGATGGAAAGAAGGATACACATGGCAGCTCTGGACCTTCCTGGAGAGGTTTCTAAACACTGTCTGTGACCAGTTTTTAACATCTAGTTGATCCAACAGTCCCTGCAGAGCCCTGTTGCTCTTTCTTTTCTTGTCTTTGTCCCTCCTAGAATGCTCCTACTGCTGTCTCATTCTATCTGGCCTCACACCATTGTTCAGTGTTGTACAATGGAAAAAGAAAACCTTAAATGCAGATAGAGGTAAAAAAGCAAGACTTAAATGGAAAAAGCAAGTCTTAAGTGCAGACAGAGATAAAAAGCAAGCCTTAAACACAGGTAGAGGTTTTATTTCTTTTCCTAAAGAAGAGGACAAGATGCATCCCTCCACCTAGGACTTGAACACTGAATGAAATGTGCTTTTTCCAGACCCAGTATAGAGCTTACCCAATACCCTGGACTTGGAGGGGTTTTTTGTTTTCAGAGATGCCCTGTCTTGCACTTGTGTGACCCTGGATCCATCCTGGATCCTGGAACTGCAGATTCACAAATACTTCTTCAACCTTTATTCCCAATCCATGACAGTTTATGGCAGTGTTAATGATTTACCACACTTTCCCTCTTGTGGACAGCCTTTAGTAGCAGGGGAGCAGTAAGGCAGGTTGAGCACAATAATGTTGTAGAAAGACATGTATTAGGAAATGAGTTTCGAATGTCTTGTAAGACAATAAAAACTTCCTCATTGGGAACCAGTAAGTTTGAGAAAGGACCAAACCAAATAAGGACCTTTAAAATAATCAATTACCTAATATTTTCTTTTCAAAACACTTCCAATGCTTCTTTTTTTTTTTTTCCTGCATTTTTTGACCAGAAGAAGGAATGTATGTTGGTTATTAAAGTGGCACTGTGCAATCAATGATCTCAAGCCTTGAAACAACAAACTTTATCTAGTTTTTTTGATAGTGTGACGATTGTCATGGGAGGGATGGCTGTGTTGGAAAAATTCCCTGCTCCTGGCATTAGCTTTTGGCACTGCCACAAATACTGCTGGAGGATGATGTGAAGATAAAATAGCAGGAGCCTTAGGGCTGTGAAAGAAACTGCTGCTCAATATTCAGATCCTTTTGCAAAATTTATTGTGCAGCAACTGCATCAGTTGGTGGTGAAGATCTCATCTCCAGAACAGGACAGACGCAGCGTTCCTTGAGCCCAGCAGCACTGCCCCAGAAGGTGGGGCCTCCTCTGTCCCTGAGTCTTCGTTCAATGAAAATCAATCCAGGCACAATCAGAAGGATGTGTTTTCCTAGTCACTGCTTTTTATTTCCTTATCAGAAAACTTTAGAGTATAAAGAAGACAAAAAAATGTCATGTCATATAGCAATGAACACAGATGTGAAGCCATTTTTACCAGGTTTTATAATGAAAATGTGAAGTATTCAGAGACCTGGAAAGAGAAGCAAACAGTCCCACATATGGATTAAATTCCCTCTTCTCTGGCTCGTCAGTACCAATCCCTCTCAGGGCTCAATCCCACTGAAACCCAGCGTTCTCTGGGCTGAAGAGATGCTGCACAGTCATTGCCAATGAAGAAGGAGAATCTGCGCTCTGGATTTGCCCACTCATGATTTCCTGCTGCTCTGCTTTCTTTGCTCATTGCTTTCTATCAGTGCTGACATATCCCTGTTGTTCCCAACAGAAGAATCTCCAAGACAGTAAATGTGGGGGAAGGTTGCATATTGAGTCTGCCTGCTGCTGGGCAAGGCACTCTTCTTTCACTGGGTTAAAGAGTTAATGCTTCTTTTCCTGTGAACTGAAGCTTCTGCTCTGGGAAAGCTCATTGGCACTGACTTGTTAATAGGAGTGGATAATTTCATTGTCAAAGCTCTGTCTTCTTTGCGAGTTTGCTGTACCTCTGGACCTTCCAGAATCACTTCTGCCAACTGTGGCACCTGGTTTTGCCAAGAAAATAGCAGATCCTGTGTTTTCAGTTTATAACTGCAAGCTTGCAGGGACTGACAAAGATCTTATTTTCACTACAAACGGTGTTTAATTTTTTTCTGCAGAGGAATTCATTCAGCTCATATTTCAGGAGCTGCAGAGAACCACCAAGTTCATGCTGCACCCTGTACTGAAGGTGATTTTTTGGTGGATCTAGAGATTCTCTCTTGCTTAGTGAGACTTCTGGGCAATACAGTAATAAAAGAGCAAAATATGAAGGGGAGGGTTTATTCTTAAAGCCTAGTAACAGTCACCACTGAGCAGTTACTCTGCTGTAGGGCTGCCTGCCCCTTCTTTCCACGGTAGTTCAGGCGGTTGAACTCCTCCTTGACCTGCAGCATGGTCTTTCCTTTGGTCTCTGGCAGCACCAGGAGTACAAAAATAGCCATGGACAGACAATATGTCAGGAAAATGATGAAACAGAAATTACCAAGCCCTTCCTATAGGAAAACAGAGAGAAAAAATGTGTTCATAAACATTAATCTTGATTTTTTTTCTCTTATGATGTAGAGTTTCTGGATTTATATTTACTAAAAGAAGTAGGTCAGAGACTTAATGGATATAAATCCTGCTTCAAATGACATCTGACAGTGTCGGTGCCTCTGTCACTGCATCTGTGTTGCCTGTGTCACTCTAACTTGTGTAGAGTTAGAAGCATTTTGTGGGTTTGCTACACTTCCAGTAAATACCTGGTTAAAAAGGAAGAGACCATCAGAACTGCAATTAATTTGGGCTCTGTCTGTTGCATGAAGTGTTGACAAGAGAAGCATGGTCTGGGTTCAAGAGGGGTCTAACTTGCTCTGAACTGAAACAAACACCCTACTTTGCTTACCACAATGAAAGGGAACACAAGCCCAAGGAGGAAGAGTTGGATCCAGTTTACAACACCATTAAAAACATAAGCAGCTGGTCTGTATGACTGAATAAATATTTCAGTGATCAAGGGGCATACTACTCCACCTGAAAAAAATATTGAAGAAAGAAGGAAGCTTAGAAATTTTGCAAGATGCTTTCATACCTCATACTTCACTTTGCTGCATAAATTCATGGCTTTAAGTGGTCTGGAAATGTCTGAAGTGGTGCTTGGCTCTTCAGGAAAAAGGCATGTAGGAATGAAATAGGAAATTAATTTTACCTCCTACCATAGTATGGAGGGAAATATCAACACCTGCACTGAATCAGAAGTAGGGATTCATGCCTATTTTGGAACAGCTATGCCTGGGATCTCTCCTAAAGGCTGCAGTGAGGAAAGAATGAGTGAATAAATTAAACCATTCCAGTAAAAAATACCAACCTGGCCCAATGCCAAAGCTCATGATGAAAATAAAGACAAGTGCAACAGAGCAGTATGGTACCCAGAAAAAGGAGTCCTGTGGTAGGAAATGAAAATCAAAGAAAATCAGAAAATAAAATTTTATATATCTAGCTCCATTATCAATGTTCATCATTACTAAGCACGTCAATGTTTAACATAGATCTATTTCCTCTACTTTCAGAAATGTCAGGAGATAGCCTTGGCAGTGATCTTGGTTGTGTAAAGCTACTGTCTTTAACCAGATGTACATGGCTGGGTACAAGCCTCTATGAATACGATGGTTAGCTCCAAAAATACTCACTAAAAAGGGATAAATAGTCTACTCACTAAAAAGGGGTTTGTGGGGAGGGAAATAGTAATGAGATCTGTCATAGAATAAAACATGGGCGCAGCTCTAATGCACCAGTGGGGTCTTACCTGCAGTGACAGTGTGACTGTGAGGAGCCCTAGAGCCAAGGCCATCACAGCATAGCTTTTCCACAGCAGCGTCTTCCTCCCCGCACGCTCGATGAGGAAGCCCTGCGAACAGGAGGAGATGCTGCCAGCTCCCAGGGACAGCCAGTGCTGAGCTGCTCCAGCCCCTGCCTGCACTGGCCCCTTCTGGGGGCCTGAGCAGCACCAGGAGCTGCGGGGAGGAGCAGAGCTGGGAGGTGCAGGGCTGCAGGGAGCACTGTCTGGGCAGAGGAGGTCAGAGCTGGTGTCCTGCAGGCAAAGGAGAGCCAGGCAGGAGAGCAGAGTGGGAATGCTTACACTGCTGTGATTCCTACAGCCCTGCGTCCTACTGACACATGACATCTGCCCTTCCAGGGGGGAACTGGGACCCCCAAGTCTGATCCAAGACTCTCAGCTCTTTCCAGAGGCACAATAGAAATGTCCATGATTGCAGGGTGTGGGGAGAGGACTTTTAACTGATCGGTTCCATGGTTGATTTGTTGCAAAAATTTGATTCCTGAAGCTCCATTTACAGTATTTCTGAAGATCAAAATGAGTAATGTATTACAGCAGGACAAAATTCAGCTGAGAAACCACTTACACACA